CCTCCTGGGTTCAGGCAATTCTCCTGCCTCAGCCTCCTGAGTAGCTGGGATTACAGGCACGCGCCACCATGCCCAGCTAATTTTTTGTATTTTTAGTAGAGACGGGGTTTCACCATGTTGACCAGGATGGTCTCGATCTCTTGACCTCGTGATCCACCCGCCTCGGCCTCCCAAAGTGCTGGGATTACAGGCGTGAGCCACCGCGCCCGGCAACACCCAGCTAATTTTTGTATTTTTAGTAGAAACGATGTTTCACCGTGTTGGCCAGGATGGCCTCAATCTCTTGACATTGTGCTCTGCCCACCTCAGCCTCCCAAAGTCCCCTTCATGTTTTTATATAAATTTGGAATTTCTGTGATGCTTCCCTATTCAAATAAACAAACAAATACAATTAATTTTAAATCAAGAGTTAGTAATAAGGCTGGGTGCAGAGACTCAAGCCTGTAATCCCAGCACTTTGCCCGACCCAGGAGGGTGGATCACCTGATGTTGGGAGTTTGAGATCAGCCTGGCCAACATGGCAAAACCCCGTGTCTACTAAAAATACAAAAATTAGGCTGGGAGACATGGCTCACGCCTGTAATCCCAGCACATTGAAAGGCTGCGGTGGGCAGGTCACCTGAGGTCAGGAGTTCAAGACCAGCCTGACTAATACGGTGAAACCCCGTCTCTACTAAAAATACAAAATTTGGCTAGCCATAGCAGTGGATGCCTATAGTCCTAGCTACTCAGGTGGCTTAGACAGGAGAATTGCTTAACCCAGGAGGTGAAGGCTGCAGTCAGCTGAGATTGTGCCACTGTACTCCAGCCTGGGTGACAGAACAAAACTGTCTCAAAAAAAAAAAAATTCAAAGACTGGAATTTCACAGAAGTCTGAATCTCTGAGAAATGTAGAAATCTGCACTTTAAACAACGCCCGAGGTAATTTTTTGTACACCTTTTTTTTTTTTTTGAGATAGAGAGGGTCTCGCTCTGTCACCCAGGCTGGAGTGCAGTGGTGCAATCACAGCTCACTCCAGCCTCGACCTTCCAGGCTCAAGTGATGCTCCCACCTCAGCTTCCCTAGTAACTAGAATCACAGACATGTGCCACCATGCCCAGCTAAGTTTTGATTTTTTTTGCAGACAGGGTCTCACTATATTGCCCAGGCTGGTCTTGAACTCCTGGGCTCAGGGGATCCTCCCACCTCAGCCTCCCAAAGTGCTGGGATTACAGGGGTGAGCCACTACACCTGGCCATATACTGTCTTTTTTATTTTTTTAAATATTTTAAGGCCTTCCAGATTAGTCACATATATTGTCATTTTAAGTGTGTGGAAAAATGGGGAAAAAAGGGTTAATTTAAAAGGCTCTGTGTAGATAGTAAATCTTGAGCAAATTATAATGAGGGCAGAAACATCAGGTGATAGGGAGGAGTGAAGTAGCAATGCCAACACAAAGGAACGGTATGTAAGAGAACTCAGTTTTGAGAGATGTTTCAGCACCCTAGGCACATGTAAGTAACCATATCTGTTCCAAATAAGCATCTGAGGCACAGCAGATGGGCAAGACTGACAACCAAAAATGATTAGAAAAACACCAGGCTTTCATTGTTTAATTCTTCCCCAATTTCTAGGAAAAAGGCTTTCTATATAAGCCTCCAATGTAACACAATGCTAATTGACAGACTACAGAACACAAACAATTGAAGCAAAGGAAGGTACTTTTGTTTTCAGTAGGTAACAAGGATCTTAAAAAAAGGAAACAGGGGCCAGGCAAGATGGCACTTTGGGAGGCCAAGGAGGGAGAATAACTTGAGCTCAGGAGTTCGAGACTAGCCTAGGCAATATAGTGACAGCCTGGCTCTTAAAAAAAAAAAAAAATAGGCCAGGCGTGGTAGCTCACGGCTGTAATCCCAGCACTTTGGGAAGCCAAGGCAGGGAGATCACCTGAGGTGAGGAGTTCGAGACCAGACTGACCAACATGGAGAAACCCCGTCTCTACTAAAAATACAAAAAAATTAGCTGGGCGTGGTGGTACATGCCTGTAATTCCAGCTACTCAGGAGGCTGAGGCAGGAGAATCGCTTGAACCCAGGAGACAGAGGTTGCAGTGAGCCAAGATGGCGCCGTTGCACTCCAGCCCAGGCAACAAGAGTGAAACTCGGTCTCAAAAAAAAAAAAAGTAAAAAGTAAAAAGTTTAAAAAGCCATCTTGTGTTTTATAGTGGATTATTACAGTCAAACATTTATAAACACAAAACTTTCATATAAGTGAGGCTTAGGCTGGGTGCAGTGGCTCATGCCTGTAATCCCAGGACTCTGGGAGGCCAGGGTGAGCAGATCACCTGAGGTTAGGAGTTCAAGACCAGCCTGGCCAAGATGGTGAAACCCCATCTCTACTAAAAATACAATAAAATTTAGCTGGGTGCGGGCACCTGTAATCCCACCTACTCAGGAGGCTAGGGCAGAGAATTGCTTGAACCCAGGAGGCAGAGATTGCAGTGAGCTAAGATCGCACCACTGCACTCCAGCCTAAGAGATAGAACAAGACTCTGTCTCAAAAAAAAAAAAGGTTTTCTGAACAGCTAACCAAAAAATAATTATGCAAATTTAGAGTGAAAAAATGTAAAATAAGAAATGTAAACCATTACAAGATTAATTCCAATGTAACTGGTCGGTTTGCATATCTGTAAAATGACAGCTTTCAACTAGGTGATTTCTAACATCCAGTCTACTTCAAAGTCTAAAATTGTATGATAAACAAATTCCTTAAACTTTGATTTAAACATACAAGGTTGTTTAAAAACTCTAAGCTTATTCTGATAATTCAACTAACCCTGAAATGTTAGATTATCAATATCCCAGAAACGATTCAGCAGTACTGTTTTCAGACTCCCAGTTAGCATGTGTCCTGAACAAATAAAGAGCAAAAATAACTATGTTCACTTACTTTTCTAATACTAAGAGCATACAAAATAGCTACTCACTGAGAAGGCATCATTAAAGGCTCTATTGTTACAGAATCCTAAAAGTCTCATGAAAATAAGAGGAACATCATCAGCTAACATCATCAGACCAAACACAGCTCACCAGAAATCTTAAATTCTGAAATATCTTGATGAAATGAAACATCTGAGATACTTATCTATCATGCAAAACAGGCAGCACTGCTTCATAATCTGAACATCACTGTAGAGTTCCTTTGGTTACATAGGAAAAAACTTCCCATGGTACTCTTTACTCCTAACTCTGCCATTGTCACTATGCACAATGCATATTTTCCATGTACTGTAAAAGAGATGCACTATACGGAAGTATACATGGGGACAAGATTTTATCTACGCTGAAATTCAATGTGGAATAACTAAGCTTATCACAATGGAGTTTTACACAGAATGTATATTTCTCAATGTAAAATGATTTTGTGCAGTAAAGGGGAAAAATGGAAGTCTGTTTCCTTAGAGTCTCCCTAATTACACACTTTATTCTTAAAATAAGGTACTGGTTTGCAGGATTAACAAATCTTACAGTTTAAAAGACAGATACGCAATAGAAGGCCAAAAGTGTAAGAAAAATCAAAACGATTACCATTAAAAACTCTTCCCTTGGGAGGTTTCAGATAGGGTTAAAAAACCAAAAAGACAAAAGTCTTCCTGATTGCCAGGCTGACCCTGCTGTCATATTTGCCATATTTATAAACCCACTAGTCTGATCAAGAGCCCTATCTTTAAGAATAACTTTTAAGTCATGTATTTTTAGTTAATGAGGCAATAACACTGTAGTATTACAGCTGCAGCTCAACAACGGACAGATACTACAGATCAGTGATCCAGAAGATAATTAAACTTTGTATTTATCAGCAAAGTGGCAACCACACCCCTTAAAAACAGAACTCACACAGTGCTCCATTAACTTCCATAAAGGGGATTTCGCTGAAAATCGATAACTTCATTGCTTGGAACTAGCATGTTTGTTTTGAGATTACACTAAGGTTTTGTAAACACTGTCTCACAGTAAAGCTAACGACTTTACCTCTCTGAAACAATCGGTTTTAGAGGAGGCACCATATATTACGGTGAAAGTGGGTGTTAGTTACGTAGCAATTAATTATTTAAAAAAAACTCACTTCCACTGTGCATCACAAGAATTAAAGCCGTTTAAAAATTCAACCAAAGCCTAATGACAATGTATTACTCTAGGAAACGTGTGTCCTTTGGGTTACAAGAAAGGTATTAATTTGGAATTTAATATTAAAATAGAATTCAACCGCTAAGTCTCTAGTTTCCCCCAATCACCTAATTTTTCAAAACCCAGAAAGGGCCTGTTTGCGGGTACTGTGAAAACCTGTGGAAACAGAGGCTCTGGAGGGGAACGGCCGAATTAAAATAAATGTATAGAGCCAAGAGAACTCCGAGTTCTCTGAACTCCCCCGAGGCTGAGCCGAACGAGGAGCGGGAACCCTTACCTGCCAGCGGCCATAGGTGAGGAGGACCATAGAAATGGGGATGGCGGTGCCGGACATGGCATGGGTGGAGGGCATGCTGTACTCGGAGTTGTAGAAGACCTCCAACTTGACCACCGGCGGCGAGGCGGGCCGCGGCCAGCGTATGATGTCCTTGGTGCACTGGCCCAGGTACATGACCAGCACCCAGATGACCACGAGCCTCCGGCCCACCAGGGGGTCCAGGTTCCAGATCCAGAAGGGGAAGAACAGGATGTAGAAGAGTTCGTTGCCCAGCTCCGCGCCGAAGCAGAACAGGTAGTAGAGAGGCCAGTTGCTCACGCGGGCCAGCTGGCCCTCCTCGCCGGTCAGCGAGTTGCGGCGCAGGGCGCCAGCGCGCCGCGGCGAGGCCGGGCCCAGCTCGGCCGCCAGCCCGTTCCGCACGCCGTTGGGGGCGCCGCCGCCGTCCGGCTTGGCCGGGCACTGATTGCGGTCGCTCCCGGGTGGCTGGGGGCCTCCGGGCGCCCCTGGCTGCCGCCCTCGCAGACAAGGGTCTCCGGCGAGGGGCGCCTCCGCCTTCTCATCCTCCCTCGGGTCCGCTGAGCGTCGCGGCGGCGCTTCCACCCCGCACAGCCGCTGGAAACGGGCCACTTTCTGCGGGTCCTGCAGACGGCCAGCCAGTTGGGCCAGGCGCTGCCTCAGCGACATGATAACTGGACCCCCGGGAAGGCGGGCCGCCACCGGCGCAGCCCGCGAAACGTCCCCGCGCGCCTGGCCAGCGGCAGCGGCACCGGCACCGTGCTCGACCCTCCGGAGTCTGCCGGGTGACGGCGCCACAGGCCGCTGCGGCCGCCGCGCGCCCCCGCCCCGCGCGCCCCTCCCTCGCCGCGCGCGCCCCGCCACCGCCCGCGGCCTCCGCGCGCGCGCCGCGCCCCGCCCCGCCCCACCCCCACCGGGCTCCCTGAGGGGCCGGGCCGGGCCGCGCGGGTTCGCCCTGAGCGCATCCGGCGGCGGCTTGGCGCTGAGGCTCGGCTAGCGGCCGCTGCGAGGTCCCGGGTAATACCCACCAGCAGGCGTGTCGACGCTCGCCTGGCGGGACGCGGGGTGTCTCCCCAGTCCACCTTCAGCCCTTTCTCCCCGCAGGCTAGTGTCGCCGGATTCCCTCAGCGGGACGTTGACTTGAGGCCACGATCCTGGTGCCAGCTTGCTCAGTGCTGGTGACCAAGCAGCCGGATATCCTGCTGGCACGGAACCAATGCTGAATGATCGATGAAGGCGAAGCAACCATGTGTCCGGAATCGTTCGACTCAGCTAATTAGCAAGTAATTACAGAGCTGTCTCAGGCGACTGAAGTTGGGAAAACCACGTGCCAACTGACCAGTGGTGGCAAGACTACATACATGTAGATCCGAAGACAGGGCCAGGTAACATTAATAGGTGTAGTATGCAAAAGAAAACCCAGACACCTACAAATTCAAAATACTGTGTCATTCATCAAATATTTTGGTACCTGTTAAAGGAGCACAGGTGTTCTAGACTTACGAATAAAATTTCCCTTTCATAGATTCTAATAGCTAGAGGGCTTGCACAGAAGAAATGTCATTAATGGCTGAATCCAATTTTTGAGTTTGATAACGTTACTTTAGACTCTTAACTTCCCTGTCTCACAAGTTACCAACTTCTAGCTAGAGCAGTTTACAAGGTCTCTGAGCTCCTCAGATCAGGTGAATGTCTTTTATATGTGTCTAGAAGAGAGATGAGACAGCGTCTCACTATATTGCCCAGGCTGTTCTCCAACTCCTGGACTGAAGGGATTCTCTTGCTTTGGGCCTCCCTACAGGCGTGAGCCACCACACCTGGCCATGGTAAGGTGAATGTCTGTAATTAAAGGATATGAACTACTTCAAGAAACGGCTTGAAATTGCCCTATTCCCTTAAGACACTAGAAAAATTTTCCCTTGGGGTGGTAGTTCACACCTGTAACCCCAAGACTTTGGGAGGCCAAGGAGGAAGGATAGCTTGAGTCCAGGAGTTTGACACCAGGCTGGGCAACATAGGGAGACCACACCTCTACAAAAAGCTAACAGAATTAGCTGGGTGGGGCCGGGCGAGGTAGCTCATGCCTGTCCCAGCATTTTGGGAGGCCAGGGCGACCTCCTGAGGTCGGGAGTTCAAGACCAGCCTGACCAACAAAGAGAAACCCCATCTCTACTAAAAATACAAAATTAGCCGGGCATGGTGGCACATGCCTGTAATCCCAGCTACTCCTGAGGCTGGGGCAGGAGTCACTTGAACCCAGGAAGCGGAGGTTGTGGTGAGCAGAGATCACACTATTGCACTCCAGCCTGGGCAACAAGAGCAAAACTCCATCTCAAAAAAAAAAAAAAAATTTAGCCCGGCATGATGGCCCATGACTATAGTCTTAGCTGCTACAGTAGCTAAGGTGGGAGGATTGCTTGAGCCCAGGAAGTCAAGGCTGCAGTGAGCCCTGATTGTGCCATTGCATTCCAACCTGGATTGAGTGTGAGACCCTATCTCAAAAAAAAAAAAAAAAAAAAAAAAATTTTCTTTTTTTGTTTGTTTGTTTTTTTTTTTTAGACGGAGTTTCGCTCTTGTTACCCAGGCTGGAGTGCAATGGCGCGATCTCGGCTCACCGCAACCTCCGCCTCCTGGGTTCAGGCAATTCTCCTGCCTCAGCCTCCTGAGTAGCTGGGATTACAGGCACGCACCACCATGCCCAGCTAATGTTTTTGTATTTTTAGTAGAGACGGGGTTTCACCATGTTGACCAGGATGGTCTCGATCTCTTGACCTCGTGATCCACCCGCCTCGGCCTCCCAAAGTGCTGGGATTACAGGCTTGAGCCACCGCGCCCGGCCAAAAAAGAAATATTTTCATTTCCCAGGGATGGGTACTTTCCTCTTGCCACTCCACTTGCTAGGCTGTCGCCATAGAAAGAGGAACAAGTCATCATCCATGCTCTCGATTTGTTCACAGTATACAAGGGAGATAAAGAAAGACAGGACTACTTCTAGAGTACAGAGCAGCTGGCAAGTGTAAAACAGAGACATAAACAGCATGCTCCAGAAAGCAGAAGGAACAAGTTTGACTAGGGACAGCAAGTAAAGGGTTAAGAGGTGATCCTGGCCGGGCGCGGTGGCTCACGCCTGTAATCCCAGCACTTTGGGAGGCCGAGGCGGGTGGATCACGAGGTCAAGAGATCGAGACCATCCTGGTCAACATGGTGAAACCCCGTCTCTACTAAAAACTACAAAAAATTGGCTGGGCATGGTGGCGCGTGCCTGTAATCCCAGCTACTCAGGAGGCTGAGGCAGGAGAATTGCCTGAACCCAGGAGGCGGAGGTTGCGGTGAGCCGAGATCGCGCCATTGCACTCCAGCCTGGGTAACAAGAGCGAAACTCCGTCTCAAAAAAAAAAAAAAAGAGGTGATCCTGTTGAGCTTGATTGTTCTACACAGCAACATATGAATAGGTAAAGAAGCCATTTTAGGAAGATAAAGTGAAGGAAGATAGGAATATGCAAAAATGTATTTGGTAAACAATAGTCCATAGAGGCCTGGTGCAATGGCTCACACCTTTAATCCCAGCACTTTGGGAAGCTGAGGTGGGAGGGTCACTTGAGGTCAGTAGTTTGACACCAGCCTGGGCAACATGGTAATACCCTGTTTCTACAAAAATATTTTCTAAAAAATTATCTGGGGCATGGCACGGTGGCTCATACCTGTAATCCCAGCACTTTGGGAGGTGAAGGTGGGCAGATCACTTGAGGTCAGGAGTTCGAGACCAGCCTGGCCAACATGGTAAAATGCCATCTCTACTAAAAATACAAAGATTAGCCAGGTATGGTGGCAGGCACCTGTAATCCCAGCTACTTGGGAGGCTGAGGCAGGAGTATTTCACAAACCTGGGAGGCGGCGGTTGCAGTGAGCTGAGATTATGCCACTGTGTTCCAGCCTGGGCAATAGAGCGAGACTATGTCTCAAAAAAAAAAAAATTAGCTGAGTGTGATGACACATGCCTGTAGCCCTAGCTACTCTTTAAGGCTGAGATGGGAGGATTGCTTGAGTCCAGGAGGTAGAGGTTGCAGTGAGCTACAATTGTACCGCTGCACTCCAGCCTGAACAGTGGAGGGAGACCTTATCTCAATTAAACAGTAAAAATTTAAAAATGAAAAAAAAAAACCAATCACTTGTAACATAGAGTAGCAAGGGTGATTGGAAATGGGATTACAAAGGGAGGATAGGATTAGGTTGTAAATCCTTGAATACCAAAGGGATTTAATGTTGTAGTCAGTGGGAGCCATGGAAGGCTTTTAGACTAGAGAGTGACACCATCAGAACTTTGTTTTAGAAAGATAACTGGGAAAGAATCAAAGACAGATTGTCAGAGGTCAGAGACCTAAGGCTAGGTAAATAATTAGAAGATTATTACAGTCATCAGGTAAGAAAGAAAGAAAGCCTGAACTAGGACCTTGATTCTGGGGAGTTAGAAGGAAGGGGATAGGTTTGAATGAGATTTTGGAACTAGGAAAAAAATTAAAATGTTTCATTTGAATTCACAGGATTGCAGGCAGATAGTAGTCCATCCCAGGTTGGAACAACACCTTATGTCTAATTTTTTCTTTTTCTTTTCTTTTTTTTTTTTTTTTTGTTGAGACAGAGTATTACTCTGTCTCCCAGGCTGAAGTGCAGTGGCGCAATCTGGACTCACTGCAACTTCTGCCTCCCAGGTTCAAGTGATTCTTTTGCCTCGGCCTCCCAAGCAGCTGTGACTACAGGCATGTGCCACCACGCCCAGCTAATTTTTTGTATTTTTAGTAGAGATGAGGTTTCACTGTGTTAGCCAGGTTGGTCTCAATCTCCTGACCTAGGGATCCACGCGCCTTGGCCTCCCAAAGTGCGGGGATTACAGGCATGAGCCACTGCACCCAGGCAATCTTGTATCTAATATTGAAGCATGAACAATGTAGTGAAGGAGAGAAAACATGAGCCAAAGATGCAAATATATTCAGAGAAGGTGTAAAGCCAGGTATACTAAACAACCCTGGGAAATGAGATATAAAGTAATCACTCAGTGGAGTAAGCAGAGAGGTGGCATTGGATTCTCTATGAATGGTTCTGTGAAACAGATGATTAGTTGGCATTTGAAGACAAGGAGCATCTTGGTTTATACAGAGAAGGGGAGAACAGCATCAGGGTGAGGGATTGTGTATGTGCTTTTCTGTCAAAATAATTTGTTTACAAGGGAATTATTCAGATTCATCCGAGGAGTTTCCTATTCTGGGGACTGTTTATCCCAGAGATGACAGAGAAAGAGGAAAGTATGTAAAACAAAGTAGAGGTGATCATTATATCCCATGGCTGCATTATGAGTCCTTTGGCACTGGTATATTTTGTCAGAATGCAATATTTTCTTTAACAGTAGTGGGAACAAAGATGGTGTAGAAATGGATATTTGACCTATAACTGCACTAAATAGGAAAAATCATACGGGCTGACAAATTTGAAGGAGCTGACACTGGTGCAATAAATCATTGTTAATGAGAGGGACAAGGTCTTACCTATATACCAAAGCATCGCAGTATAAAGAATAGTAGTTTTGGGCCAGGTGTGGTGGCTCACGCCTATAATCGCAGCACTTTGGGAGGCCAAGGTGGGCGGATCACCTGAGTTTGGGAGTTCTAGACCAGCCTGACCAACATGGAGAAGCCCCATCTCTGCTAAAAATATAAAATTAGCCAGGTGTGGTGGCGCATGCCTGTAACCCAGCTACTCAGGAGGCTGAGGCAGGAGAATCACTTGAACCCTGGAGGCAGAGGTGGCAGTGAGCCGAGATAGCACCATTGCACTCCAGCC